GAATGTTGGCCGCAGGGAACAGCGTGCGATGCTGATAGATAATGTGATTCCCGCGATTAAGATGAAGTGTCCAGCTTTTCTAAAAGGCGTCCCATTGATTATTCAGCAAGATGGTGCTCGTAGCCATGTCGAGCCCAATGATCCAGCGATACTGGCAGCGTGTAGAGCTGATGGGTGGGATATATGCATCGAGATGCAGCCTCCAAATAGCCCGGATACAAATATTCTTGATTTGGGTTACTTCTCCTCGATTCAAGCTCTGCAGTACGAAGAAAGCCCAAACAGCATCGACGAGTTGAATGAATGCACCATCGCATCATATCAAAATCTCCAACCTGAGACGCTTGAAGACACGTTTGTATCATTACAGAAGGTAATGGAGTGTATTATACAAGATCTTGGCAACAACAGCTACAAGCGGCCTCATATCGATAAGAGCAAACTCCGAAAGGGGGGGGGGTTGTTGCTGAAGAACTACAAGTGCGACTTGTCGATTTATTTGGTAGGTGCGGCATATCATTTTGTAGCCAGTCAACAGAAAGTAGAGAAGGAGAATCTGTTGAGATTGCAGATAGAAGCCTTTAGAATTTTAACGGTCTAATGACTAGTATTCTTGTGTGCTTGCTTAAGTGGGCTTTGGGCACGTAGCTCAGTTGGTTTAGAGCACCGCCAATGTTGCGGAAGGACGCGGGTTCGAGTCCCGCCGTGTCCTTAATTTTTTAGCAAATAAAGCTGAAGATTTAAAAACCATTGAAACCCTAATTGCTTATTTAATTATGACCCCGAACACTCACTTGATGTTTGTATGGAGGGTCATCATTTTTGCATGTAACAACATCATTTTAGGCTTAAAACCTCTGAATAGAGCATAAATGTATGCGTTAGCCAGTGCTGATTATTTGAATGTGCGCTTTGTAAGGGGTATCAAGCAAACTTTTTTATAATACGCATCATTTCCCGAATCTGGTCAAGTAAACTGAAACGGAGGGAGTATATATGTATAAAATATATTTTTTGGTCATATGTACGCTTACAGTTAGTTTTACCCAATTTAGCCAACTACTGGTGAAGTGACTGATCGAAAACGTACACCCTTGACAAAACGGTAATCTTTTTAAAAGGGTTAATTGTCGCTTGCTCAAACTTAACCCACAACTCGACAGCGCACGGGTAGGCGAAGCCAAATCATACCCGGCAAGTTAGATAATAAAATTGTGAAATTTTGTTTTGAGAGTCCTGTGATTATGGATCAATATAGTCAAATCAGCACAAAATTAATCATTCAATTTTAAAACTCCAATGTATAATTTCAATAATTTTGAGCACCTCTGTCCAGGCTTACCCTACATCTTTTCGGATCTTAGGCTTCCTTCAAAAATATGGTCTCCATGTCAACTTATTGCTTGATCTTTAGCCGACAGTTTTGGAGGATTCCTAGAGTTAATCTTGTTTCGGGCTGGAAGGTCTTCGATTTGGGACGGGTAGGGTATCCTGGGCATTTATTTATGGTCTTCGAAAATATTAAACCAAATAAATTTAAATTAATTCTACAGGTTTTGCAACTTACCGGTACCGGGACCAACCGGTAGTTTTGGGCCGACAGATTAATTCATTCCAACGACATCCGCGCGACATCGTCAACTTGCTGTCACAACACTCTCCAAATGGAGGCGACGCTGTCCAAGCGAGGCCAACGTGCCACAAGACGAACCCAAGCGTGCCCGTGTACCCGCAGAAGATGTTGATGCTCCCCGTGACGCATTAGCCAGCAGACTGGAGGGGCGTGCTGTTTCCAGACGAGATCCTAGCTCTGCTGCATGTGCTAAAGCTCATCGACACATTAGCAATGACGCCAGAAGATGCACTGCAAGAAGCAGTTGCAACACGCCAGACCGAATGGATTAAACAATTACTTGGCAGATTCGATTGTGCTCTAACGGACGCAGTAGTGCAAGCTGCTACTCTTGGCCTGCGGGATATCGTAGAGCTGCTACTAAACAAAACCTTTGGTATTGACGACGTGGCAACATACGTTAAAGTACTGGTCAATGACGATACGAGAGCGTTAGAGGAGATGGCGTCATGGCTGCGGCCATCTCGACGTTGTTAAGCTGTTGTTACCACTTGTTATTGGTATATCGTGTCGTGACTATTCTTCTTCCTGGTTCCGTGTAATTCGGAACATTTTGGATGCAGGCACGAGAAATGGGCACTTGGAACTGGTGAAATATATGGTGCAACATGCAGCAAGAAATGGATATGCGCGCAGATATTCCGTCGGTTGACACCCTGTCACTGTCCATTCTTGGAGGACACACTGATATGGCAAACTTTCTGGTGAACTAAAGAGAAATAATCTGGAATTTGACAGATGCGTTCGTCACAGCATTAGATACAGGACAAACTGCTCTTGTCGAGAGGATGCATGAAGTGCATTCGCAATGAATGCGTGGACGAAGCCTGTTCATTGGCCTAGCGGAATCAGGCCACATTGATGCTGTTAAGTACTTGTACAACAGTGAATGGGATGATCCAGGACTGGTTGGTAGAGCGTTCGCAAGTGCAGCATGTGGAGCAGAGATGCAAGTCGTGAAATTCCTTATTGCTACTGATCGGGTCTCGTCGGAGGCGTTTGATAAGCTTTCAAGCATGCGTGCTCCGGATATCAAACTTTCAACGTTGTTGCGCTCCTGTACTGTTTAAAACGAGTTTCTCAGCAAGGCATTGACCGCGCATTTGCAGTTGCACATGATGTGGCAGTTGTAAAACTACTATACGAGAACGAAAAGATCTCAGATCATGCAGTTACTGTTGCGTTCACGAGGTCGTTGAATTCGTTAAATCAACATTTCATCCCATTCGAAATCATTAAATTCTTGCACAAACTGCCGTGCATTCCATCGAGTTTGATTGACGAGGCCTTCGTGCGAGCAGCGCAGGCTCAGAAAACAGATACTATCGAGGTTTTACGAGATGACAGTCACCTCACCTCCAAGGCGAAGGGAGACGCATTTGTAGATGCATTCAAGTGTCAAGGCGTCGAGATAATGAAGGAACTTTACGAAGAGAAGTGCACGCCCCCTTCGTCAGGTTGCTTTCCGTCGAAGAGTACGTGCCACGGGAATATATGCACAAGACTTTCATTGCTGCAGCACGACACGGGCAAATGGCGATTCTGGAAATTGTTTATGAGAAACAACCGGCGGAATTGCGTGTTGAACGATGCTCTTGATGTGGCGGGGGCGAACGCCAAGATCGAAAACTTTATTCTCAAATTGGTCTGTGATCAAATATTCAAGAGACGCCTTCATGGCTAGAGATGTCTTCCGTTTGTTGGAAGCCGCTGGTACAATTAATAGTGGTGATACCTATTCTTGCAAACTCGTTGAATACAATGGGTTATTCTGACTCTCTTACTAGAAGTCGAGTGCCTACCTACACCGAGACAATCGCTTTCATCTATGGCAAACGCCACAGACAATTATAAGTAACGTATACCGTACATTGTACCTGCTTACATACAAGTCCAAAAATTACAGCTTTTCCTATGGGCGACGTATTGCTGTGGCTGATTATTACTCGGTAGACAATTGTGTACCCATTCCGTTGATCGTAATTAAACAAAGTTTTACGAAGTCTGCGAGGTGGTGGCTGAAACAACGTTACGCCAGTTGTTGATGTCAAAAATCCAATGCAGTCCAACAAATTCTAAATTAATACATCTCGAAGTATTACTTCAAGAGTGGGAGTAGAAACTGAATCTCCTGTCAACCAGAAATAGTCAAAATGTTTTTTCACAAGCATAATGGCAAATTCCGTGGGTGCAAACATCATGGAGTGGCTAGTTACTTCGAGTCCAATCACCAAGGGAATTTGCCACTACGTATAAGAATGGCATTTTGGTTGCCGCGTCGACCATTGTTTGATAAACTTAAAAAAGGAGAGGGATGGGACTTCTTCTTGCGTGGCATCTTGCGAAATGAGCAGCAAGAGCGCTTTACACATCACTCGTCATGTACTTTGTCAATAATGAGGCTCAATCTTTTTGATACAACTATACTTAATTTTAGTAAAGATGGGGGTGGCAGATCTAATCTGTCGCAGTGCCAAAAGCGATGCTCTGTATGCTAGCCACCTGATAGACTGCTAAATCCAGATTGTTACCACAAACACCGTCTTACTCTGAATTAGCTATAAAACATATCTAAATGGCAGGCTCCAACTCCTAAAATTGACGTGGGTGGCCGATCTATCCTGTCGCGGAGTGTAGCATTGGTTACGAGTTCGAAGATGAAATGAAGCGCTCGTTGCAGTGTATGTGGCGTCAACCACCTGGTTCAAGTGGAAATGACCGAGGGCAACAGCTCCCGAGGAAGCGCATGGCCCTTCCTCTATTCTCTCGCGCATAAAAAGAGAGAGAGAATGTGATTTTGGTTTGACAAATTTTGTCAAACCAAAATCACATTCTCAATGGTACACATTGTGTACCATTCAAAACAGACGACGGCCCTTCTATTTCTCCCTGGTGTTGTGGTATTGTATTGTGTCGGTACTGGCTAAACTTGTACTGCACTGATGTGTCAATTCGTCGCTTAAAACGCTTACCGCCTCTGCCAAGAAACCATGGCTGTTGTATCGAAAGCATTAACGTTGAGTAGAACACGTGTCACTGGATACTACTGCAAAGAGGTCTCAATGCGTGTAGTGGTACTGTAACCAGTAAGAATAGTACTTGAGTAACACTTGTATCACATCTTTGATCATCTGTCTTTTCTAACGAGAAATAGTTGTGAATTTTCTTCGAATGTTATCCGCGACAAAGGTTGGTAATCTTACCGCTATTATAACAAGTGGTAATCAGCCCTTCAAAGACTGTGATTTCCGTGAACATATGCGTAACGAAGTTTAACATACAGTAGGATTTTGACCTCGAATGTTAACTGTCGCTTGTTTGACACATAGGATAAACGACGCCGTCGGAGCGGGAGCGATGGATTGCGTACGATACCACGGAGTCAACTGTAGAGTATAAACACAATATAAGCACGATTAAACGCCTGAAAACGCTCTTATAGATAAGTCAGTGGGATACTCTCCAGCACTTGGGGGGGGGGGGGGGGCTGCCTCAACGACTCTCAAAACCATTCTTATTTGTTTCGTGATCTATCTCTTTAAAGAACCCCACAACGTAGTATTCGGGCCAATTCAAAAAGTCATGACTCTGTATGCAACCTATCTCACAAAAACGCAGCGCACTAGGGTCTACCGATAGTAATAACAAAAGAGACGGTTGTATTTTTTATTAACCCTTTTGCGAGCCACTTTAGTAAACTAAATCTAGGATAGTCGGTATCAAAAGGAGGCATTTTGCCTCCTTTAAGGCGAGTGATGGACCACCTTCAAATTTTCCAAGCGTGATTTGCTTGGTTTTTCTATGCGCATAACGACCTGTTGTAAACGTACTTAATTATAAAAGGAGACATTTTGCCTCCTTTAACATGGATACATCGTCGGATAACCAGGAAAAGGGGGCATTCTGCTTCCTTTTATCGCGAAAGGGTTAAGCGGCCATTATCTAAGAATAATCGTGGTGTTCAAGTTTGAATTCAATCAGCAACTTCTCATGCAAGTGCAATTATCTATTGTGACTGGCCCACAACTTAGTTTTGAGTAAGTCAAGTCAAAAGCAACTCCAGCTTTTTAACTGGAGTCCAAGTATCTGAAATCCTAAAATGCCGAAAAACCAAGCTGTCAAGATGCGTGTTCAAGCTAATTACAAGATTCACCCAACAATTACCTCCTCAGTGACTGGCAATGTTTCTCTGTCAGGTATTATATGTTGCCAGGTCCCTAGCAGTAATAAACGGTTTTTATCGATGCTCTGCTTTGTTTTAATTTGCTGCTGAAGCACCATGGTATAGACACCAGCTACTTTTTCTTTAAAAAGTATTTTATGCATTTAAATGCATAAAATAAACTATATTCCTTCCGCATACAAGTACCGAACACGCCTATGACCGGGAGCTTCCCATCTTGACAAGATTCTTGTACACGTTGGCCCAACAAGAAGGCGAGGTCCACTTTCGCATATAAAGGTCGCTGTCCGTTTTTTGAAGCCGTCGAGCACACACCGAGAACCTCACAGAGTTCCACAGGTCACTATAAAAGAAAAAGATTATTAATAAGCCATGGTGGTTTTCTTGAGCACCCTTTCAAGGCAAACGTCATGTTTTGCCCTATATGTATGGGTTGCAGTCACAGTGTGTTTGAGGTAGGATTTCACAACAATTCCTACTGCTGGTCGACGCTGTCGGAAGTTCCGACTCGGAGCCAAAGCGAAATTTCGAGCTGGTCACGCTGTCGTGGATCGCAAAAAGCTCCCAATCTAGCCGCCTATGTGCCGCGTATTCGTAGTGTGCGGTACTGTACGACCACTGTCGTAGTGTTTCAGAAGTCGCCTTGGATATGTACAATAGTGACCCGACGACGATCCCTTTTCGCATTTTAAGCGAGCCTTGCAAACTTTCGGTGGCCACCAGATTTGATTTTACACCATACTTCGCACAAGCTCCACAAGTCTCTACTCGCGCCTCCATTCGGCAGTGCAATGGCATCCCTGAAGCTACTTTTTTCCTTGCTTGCTGCGATCTCCAGTCTCACAGCAACTACGGCGGACACCTCAACATCTCGAACCCCAGGGACAGTATCAGTACCGACAGAACCTACCAACTTCTTGGTGTCAAGCTCGTTTGCATCTACCAGTGCTATGGAGATTGCCACCCCTGCAACTGCGAGGAGTTCTGTTGTATCGACTTACCGTAACTGGGTGGGAACGTGGACAATGTCGCCAGATACTGCGTGCTATCGAGAGGCTCACATCATGGACGTTTGTCCTAGTAACTACGACCGGAATGAGCTCACAAATACGTGTTGGACTGAATGCCCCATGGACTACCCTGTGGAATGCGGCATGGAGTGTATCCGTCAAAACGACGACTGTGGAATTGAGGTGGCCAGCAAAGTCTCTGCTGTTGGTATCACAGTCCTCAGTAGTGCTACATTTGGTGTGTTTGGTGCGCTGGAAAAGCTGGGTAAGCATGCCTGGTGGGCTGCAGTGTGTACCACCTTGGTCATGGTGGTGATGCGAGGTGTCCTCCGATACATTCGCACGTTGAAAGCGTCAGATCCACAGGCGTCCGAGCGCAAGTTACTCCTCTTGCTCTTTCACTCGAGCATTGTTGTCACGGATTTACCTCTTGCAATTGCCGTTTGTATGAAACTGCATGTGTCTCCAAACCTCATTTTATCGCAGAAAGTGCTGACAACGGCCCAGTGGATGCTAGCGCAAGCTCTTGCCCATGACGACAGTATTATTTCGAGTTGGCAGAGATTCCGCGCCTTCCTGAAAGGGGCTAACTTCACTGAAGCCGCCGAGAAGATCACTGAGGGCGAAATTGATTCGCTAGAGACAGCAATGAAGCAGAACTCGAGCTGTGGTGGTGATCTCAAGTCCCTAGTTAACCGGGTGTGGCTGATCGTGAACGAGTATCGAGAAGAAAGTCCTGCCATCACGGACGATGAGATTCGACTAAAGATTAGTGACTCCGATCTCGTACTGCAAGATATACCCATAGTGACGAACAACTGTATGCACCAGATGATCGCCGAGTCGAGTTTAGCGACGGCTTACAAGACGCGTGAGGTCTTGCGCAAGACCTTTGGAGTTATCATGAACGACCTCATCAAGTCTGGGAAGAGCGACAACGGCACGTCCTACGATGACAAGGAAAAAGCATATCGAGTTGTCGACTTTGCCTTCACTGCTGCCGCTGTGACGTTGCTAGATCCTACCCGTATTACTTTGTTCTTTTCCGAGTTCATTCAGAAAATTTGTGGGCCAACTCAGTTCATGGGCGAGATCGACGACGGCACAGAACCTGCTACGTTGGGGCTGAATACGCTTCAAAAGGCATTCAAAGGGACAAAAAGCTCCTGGACTAAAAAGGGTGATGGAGCCGTCATCATCAGCTTTACGAGCAGAGATACAAAGAACGTGGTAGTGAATATCAAGTCGGGAGGAGACAAGATCGATGAGGTCAAGGTCGAAGCAGGAGGAACTGGCCGGTGGAATTCCACAGTCAAAGCGCTTGGTGGTAAGACGCTCTACCTTGATCGCTGGCGGCCGGGATTCCTCGGTCTTCCCGGCACTGGAGGCGGATCACTTGTCCTGTGGGTGCCTAGATCCTCTCAAGGAGGCCATTTAGAACTTGAAGTAAAGATTAACGTGAGCTAAAGCTCCGTTCTAATAGAATAATGGATCGAAACAGGCTCGACAGGACTTCAGAAAAACGTTATAACATTCGCTCTGTCAGCCGCAAAAGTTCCAGATGAGAAAGTGAAAATAAATGTATCCATCTACCCTTTCTCGTTACAAAAAGAACTGGATTAAACTACGTTAAATTGATATTGAATGAAGAAAAAACTATCAATTTCCTGCGGCTGGGAAGCTAAAACTATAGTTCCCACGTATCATCTTTCACGTTCAGCTCGTCAGTCACGTGACCACAGCCACAAACGCGCTACCGCTGAAAATCAGATCGCAGATAATTTTGCGCACGAAGAGCTTGACTTCACGTTCATCCGCAACTTCAAGCGCTTCCTTCAGCACTTGCAGTTGCCAGTTGCCACATTCCGTCTTGTTTAGTATCCCAGGACAACCCTTTGTCCCCGCTGAGCAGCACACATGAAGGCCTTGATCCTGATTTCACAAGGGACATGCTCTGTGTCACACATAAGCGTGCGAGATTCTTTGATATCCAGGAAAACTCGAAGAAGCAGGTTTCATGAACGCCTTTAACAGCGCGTTTGGAGAAATCACATCAGCATCATACAGCGACTTTGTCCAATCCCAGTGACCTACAGACGCTGCGTTGGCGAAAGCGTCGTCTCTCGCTTCAGTTGTAAGACGCGGATCATTACCCAGGAGCTCTATAATATCACGGCGACAGATTCTGGCGGTGTCAAAGTCAGATACCAATGGCATCGACAGGAATGCAGTCCAGCTTGTACAAGAACTTCACCATATCAATCGTTCGTACTCAAGCGTGAGAACACTGTGTCACTTCCACAACCACATGCACGTCTGAAAGCAGCAACGATTGACTCCGGAGATATGTGTTCGTTCTCGTACAAAAACTTAAGGACTGTAACCTCCTCGGTGACTTGGAAAGCTATTGATCGCATCACTAAGTGCCATCTTCTCGCTGCAGAGAAGATATACCGTTTTTAGTGGATGTAGCAACGAACGAGCCGCTCTCTCGACGGCGTAGTCGTATACTGCGGGTGAAATACGATCGGATCCAAGCAAAAATTCAAGGACACCAATCGATCCCCACTCCGCTGCAACGTGAACGCTTCGTTAATTGACTCGATGGTACAATGTCCACTAGTGTACGCATACATCACTGTTTTGTCGTACCCTCTGCGTGAGAGCTCAACAAACAAATCGCCCGTCCGGACTCTCCCGGATACCGGTAGATGCCATAGAGCTTCTCTGCCAGTGGCTTGCCATCCGTCGATGCCGCGGCTTCATAGGCTTTCGATATATCCCACTCAATTTCGCCCGCTACTTGTGGCAGAAATTCCACCATTTCATCGTGTTGACCCAGAATCGCTTGTGTCAACGCATCGGGTTCATACAATGCCGCACATACTGGAGTGTAGTTCTTCTCTCGAGCGTGATTTACCGTAAACTTGACTACATTCAAATGTCCGTGAGTCGCTGCAGCTGTGAGAACTTCGTCCAGTTCTATCCACTCACTTCGGTTATCTGTCAACGTCCCACCACGTACTCCACGGTATTCTGATGGCCGTTCTCGGCAACTGCAGCAGCAGCCTTGAAGAGCGCGTCACGAATGTTGGTGGGCGAATCGCACAGATCCACGTACACGGCGATAATTCCTTCGTACACCAATATGTCCAAACTACCGGTATGCCCTTTAGAGCCCGCAACGGTGAGAGCATCTGATAGATCTAAACGCTCTCTATTTCTGCGACCGATGTGGTAGGTTCTAGACATCCAATTCGTGATCGTCGAGTTTTGCTACTTCTGTGACGGTCTCAGTGGGTTTCATCAGAAAAATATCGATCTGTTCCATTATGTGCGGCAATGCCACAATCGGTGCAGGAAACTGGACATTGTTGAGGTGCGTGTAGTCGCAAGATAGAGACCTTTGCAGTTTATATTCCTCTCAGATCTTGTATGTTAGTCCGTCCATCTTGGGGTCGTCTGGAAAGTGGACGTCGCACATGCTGAACAGCACTGGCTGTCTTTCGTCCTCGTAAGCGAACTTGAGCGCGCAAATCCGCATCGCGACGACCCGCGTGAATCACTCCCTTGATAACGATTATTCTGTCTTGCAGTCTCCACGTACTCTTGGAGACTGGTTTCAAGGTCAGTCCTTGTTTCGTACTGGGCTTGAAAGCTGGGCAGTAATAAAGTTCATCAGCGCAGACGTCAGACGCCTTCTTCTTCTTACCATGAGCTTTGCCACTGGTCCACGAAGCGAAATTAATGCATTCTTCTCATGGCACACATCTTCTTCCTGCTCCCCTGTGAAAGCGTTTTTCGTCATGTTCAACCTCTCCCTGATCCCTGTGTGGCCCTGCTTCTTCGTCAGATGACGAAACCTCTCCTCCGTCTGCGACGCCGCCTTACCCCTCCTCCGCGTTGGACTTGGCGTTACGGTCGTATGCATCCACTTCCTTGTCTTCTTCACCACTGTCCTGCTCGTCTTCATCACCACCACCTTGCTCGACTTCGTTACTCGTGTCGGCTTCATTGCCCTTGTTCGGCTGTGCCCATGCGAGAGCTTTTGCCTTCTGCGAACATGCCAGCAACCTGTTTTCATTGCTTCTTGCGTGCTTCCTCCTCTGCACGAGCTAGCTCGGCCATCTGGGCAATTCGTGGTGTGCGCGCCATGTTTATCGTCTCGAGATTTGTCTCCCCAACTTGTGGTTGTGAGCGAAGAGCATATATTCTGGAAAATAGCTGTTAAAATATGTGGAGAATTCCTGGTAATTTACCAGGTATGCTCCCTTTACCACTGGTAAAGGGAGCCTGAACGCCAAGCTAGCCGATGAAAAGATTATTTGAAACTAACATTTTATAGATAAGACACCCCTCTTTACGATGATGTTCGCAAAACGCACTTCAACGAATGGTTAACGATTAATAGCATTTATTTGGTTTGTGGGACTCATTTGTAAAGTAGTCGTTGAGTGTGAGGTGGACTGGTTGGGCTAGAGAGGAGGGTATCTTGGTGTGATGAGGCAACAATAGCAATAGGAGAGCAAACAGGGTGAAGCGCAAGGAACGAGCTACACCAATCGTTTGAAACTTGTGTGATGGAAACGAATAGTTTGTAAGTAAATTTTGTCGGATCCATTTCGGTGGTGCATTTATGGTAGAAATGTCTTTAAACAAAAATAAATTGGTGCTCCCAGCGCTATGGGGATCGTCTGCACTTCGAAGTAGGTGCAAATCTTCCTCCTCGCATTCCCTCTTTCTGTCATGCCGTTGACCGCTGGCAAGTACGAGGGCTACATGCGCGCTGCCACTTTCCTCCTGGACTGGCTGCTCCGCGTCCACCAGCATCTTCATCCCGCTGTGAACGTTCTGCAGTTGAAGACACTCAACGGAGCTGTCCAGCAGATCTCCAAGAACCCTGCGTCCCTCTCTTCGGATCTACTACACGAACTGCCAAACGTTCTCAAACCTTTTCACTGCGCCATTGGATTACGTGAAGCATTCGCCGCGCCGCTGCTGGCAAATGACACATCTAAATTTGCGGCTTTGTTGAGAATCTGGTACAATCTGCTGCAAATGGTGCCAATTGACAATATTCAAGACACCATGGCTGCTGAGTGGGAGGAAGAGGAGAACAATTATTGTCCCGGAGAAGAGCAATTTATTGTGGATACTAACCTCACCTAGAAACTTAACACAGAGCGATCTCACGTCTGTGCGGAGGCATTTAACGACGATTTTGGACTGGATGTCGTATTTTTTTTTGTCTCGGCCTTGGAACAATTGGTGCGCGGAGTGTATCAATGTTACTATTTCGTCAAATTACAGACATCCACGGTCATTGAAGCGAC